CCCGCCTTCCATTCTTCTGCTGTGACTTAAACCGGCCGGAGGCTTGTTTACAGGTTAATCACCGAGCCAAATCGTGCGTGTGGTTCAGGCCTTGAGCCAAGAGGCAAACAGGAAGTGCACGGGTGCGGACCGACCCGGCGGCAAGCTGACAGCCTCGAGTCGACCCCCAGCTGCTTCCGCTATGGAGATTCACGCCTCAACCGAGGCAAATGAGGTCAGCATCCCAATCCCGCCAGAACTGAAAATACTGAGACACGCTGACAGTTTGTGCCCCTCCCCAAGAGTAAGGTTGGAACTGCACTTGTTCGGGATCGGTGCAGCTTTTAGAACGTGAGACACACCCAGACCCACTGACACACGCACACCCTCTCACACACGCACACTCTCTCACACACGCACACCCTCTCACACACGCACACTCTCTCACACACGCACACCCTCTCACACACGCACACCCTCTCACACACGCACACCCTCTCACACACGCACACCCTCTCACACACGCACACACTTGCGCTGCAGGCTGACATCTGTGCTGCAGCTGTCTGGCTCACGACGGGCTGCATTCTGCCTCTGGCCGCCCTGCCGCTGATCCGAGCTGCTCCAGACACAGTGTGGGGCAGCGCTGTTTGTCGGTCAGGTAGTAGGGCGCTCGCTCACCCAGGATCTCTTTGAAGTCATGACTGCGCCCCCGTGAGGAGAAGGTCTCTCCTGCAGGTGCCGTTTGAAGCGCAGCTGTGGTCCGGCGGCTCCTCTGTACTGCGGACACCACCGCGCAGACGGTCCGGAACATTCCCAGGAAACTTGGCCAGGATGGGGATACACTCGACTGGCCTTGAGGGGGGGGGCAGTCATGTGCTGCGTGTCGCCGGGTTGGGGGTGGAGCAGATCTTCCTGTGAGGCTCCAGCTAGTGGTGTGGAGACGCATGGGCATTGTGCTGAAATGGGGGGGGGGGGCAATGATTTTTAATGGCTGCTCAGGTTCCTCTTACTCAAACCCTGGGCCAGGGGGTAAATGTCTGTTCTGGAATATGACAGGCTGCCGGGCAGCCTGGTATCCCTGGCCCTCTCGTTAAGGGAAAAAAAAAAACGTTTCGTCCCATTGCCTGACCACGCTGATCCGGCTAATTAATTTGGCTTTTGAAGCTTCCCCTTATTTTGCCTCAAACAGGTGCAGACACTCCACAGGGTGGCAATGGCGTTAAATAAAACCAAGCCAGCGACTGGCTCTGCTTAGACGCATGGGTAGGTGCCACCCCCCATGCGCACGACCCTACGGGACTCCCCACAGCTGGTCTGCCGCTCTGCCCAATGGGGATGTCACCTTGAGACGCTAAGGCCATCGGATCACCTAGGTTACCAATAGCCATACACAATTCTTAACGAGTTCAAGGTCGCTCGTGTTGCTCTAGGTGATGATGAAACACAACAAAATCTGCCCCCAATTTTTAAGCCAATCTGTTCAAGTGTTTGTTTATTTTCAGTGCTGGTCTCGGTTAGTCAGAAGTTCTGGCAGGTGTGGGACTGCGGACTGCAGGACTGCGCCCCTGTTTCCGTCGTGCTGCTTGGCTCTCAGCCCCTCAGCATCCGCAGCATCACGCCTCTCTGCCTCCACAAACCTCCTTGTGCCGTCTGGTTATCCTGCTACTCAGCCGGCTAGCCGCAGCACTGCCTGGGGGCGTCGCACTCTGAAGGCACTCAGGATTACAGACACGGATTCGAGATCCCAGAACTCTGATGGATGCTCCTGTCTGGCAGGAGATGCTTCACACGTGATCCTGTTACGGTCTGATTTGGCGCCGCCCTGCTGGAGATGCTCTGTGATGTATTAGCGCTACACCTGAAAACATCCCCAGAATGAGCTTGTGAGTCACAGCCCGTGGAGTGAGTAAAAAATATCTGTAATGCGCATTTTTCCTTGGTGGGGGATGGGGAGCGAAAATGTACTGCAAAACTTTTAAAGCAGTAAATCAATAAGATTAACTGTGAGCAGCAGTGGGGGTGTTTTAGACGTGAGCCTTTGGAGTGAGACAAGAAACGTCTGTTTAAGTCTCTGCTGCGAAAACGATGCTCATCTGTAAGTACAGGGATGAGAGATACCCCAGCAACATCTGTTACGCAGCCATATATAAATATATATATATATATATATACACACACAGACACATACCTCTCCTTTAACTCCTTTCCTTTAAACCGTAATATGGCTGATTGAGCCTACGATCTGTTGACAGATTGCATGCTGTACTTATGACACTGGCTGGACATCTATACGGATTCCAGTCTTTGTTCATTTCTTACGGCTGCTGCTTTGATGGATACGCCCCGGCTCAATTACGCTGCAGCAGCGTCAAGGTCAGCCCGAGTGACTAAAGCCTGAATAAATACCATTCTGCCAGCTTTTGTTTTACGCGATTAAACTAATCCTATTACTTTCGGTTAGCATCTGACCCTGGATGTGTCACGGAAGGAATTCACTTTGACTGTAACGGCATACGTGGCTACTCAACTGTGCGTTCACACACACACACACACACCCACACACACACACACACACACACACATCCTACTAGGTGACAGCTGATCTCCTGTTGTTACAGTGAAAGCTGGGTACAATTCAGCTCTGAGTGAGATGGGAGGAGGGGGTGTGTCAAACCCCAGCCCCCCCACTCCATGCGTCCCAAAGCCACGCCTACTCACGGTACAGAAAATAACATGATATAATAACAGGCTGCATATAATTATCAGCTGGAGCATGGTACACACAACTTTGGATATATAAAATCATCCATCCACTCAACCTTTAAAATAAATAATTATACAATTAGATTTGTAGTGGTTGGTTCACGGGCCATTCTTTCACACTTACCCAATCGAATTTGTAGTGGGGTGGGACATGACAATAAGTTTTAATAGATTGTTATTAAGTCATGTGGTTGGTTTCATTTCAGACTGAATCCGTGAATTAGCCCCAAACTGGGTTGAATTGACTGGGCGGCATTGATTAAAACTGAAAAAAATGTTGTCACAGAAACCCTGTCACACGACGATGCAATATTCCAGCCCCCACACCATTCCCAAAATGCCTCCTGAATCACAAAACGGATCTCTTTAAATAAATACCACGCAGAAGAAGGCATTCGTTACATTCAATAACTGTCTATTCATAAACACAACAGCCGCTCACAGCCATAAATCAGTTGATCTGTGATTGATTATGTTTCCTGGTAAGTCTGAATAAGGGGTTGTAATTTATTTCTTAATACTGTAAGGGATGCAAATGTGAAGCCTTTGTACCAACCTTTATGCAGTGCTTTTATCTACAGCACCTTACAACCTTAGCTCATTCAAACAGCTGGATACATTATTGCAGTGGTTCAGTTTAAGTGACTTATGGAAGGGTGCATGGCCTGATCTCTGAATTCCTGACCACTGGGATACCTGCATCCCTGACTGGATTATAGGAGCATGACTGGATGATCTGTGGTGCATTTCCGCTCCCATGCTGATCTCTCATCGTAAATGGTTTGAGAGATGAACAGACAGAGAGAAGAGGAAGGAGGCACTGAGGAAGGGCTGCGCTCTGCTGGGCGTGTGCATGCACAAGGTCACCACCTGCAGCCAGACGGCGTTTCTCACATCACCGCAGGTTTGCACGGATGCAGCCCCACCGCTCCCAGGTTTCATATAAATTCACAAGTTGGCATGACAGTGAATCTGAGCCCAACAAAGAAGGGAGATTAAGAGCGTCCGGCTGCCAGTAAGAGCCGGAGCATGCGAGGTCACATGGGGAGACCCGGAGGGGGGCATCGACCAATGAGGGGGCAGCATATTCGGAGGATGTTTAAAAACTGCAGATCAAGTTACTGATATCATGTGTTGTGGGATTTGTGCCTCCAAATTCGTTGTTTGTCTGTCAGATGATCACCTGTGCCCCCCCCCTCCCTAAACTCACAGACTCAGACACACATGAGTAATCTGGGTATAGAATGTACTTGAGGACTTTCGGATCTGTACTAGAAGTGCAATTTCAGACTCGAGCGACTCCACTTAGTTAATTCAGTCCTTTCTGGTTGAAAAGTGAGTCTGGCTGCTCAGGCACGTTTGGGCGGCTGGCACAGTGATCCGAGTTTCTGTGATCTCTGCACCGCCGAGCCCGCGACTGGGTTGGGGGTGATTCCGGCTGACGGTGCATAAAGAGGCAAGCCTGGGGTAGGGCCTCCTGGCAGGCCTCGAGACCATGACAGGGTGCCTACGGAAAACCCACCCGTGGGAGTGTAGCCCCCCAGCCCCCTGATTCCAGGGCACATAAAATGCAGGAGCGAATCAGAGAAACAGAATCGGGGGAGGAAAGATCAGACACGCATAAGGGCATCAGTGGGACACATGAATAATTTAGTGCTGTGCAGTGTGATGCATCTCCTCTCAAACGACAGCATGACTCTCATGCAACCTGACACCCCCCCCCCCCCCCCCACCCATATACCTCCCCTGGGCCCAAGGCTCGGTGGCTCACCAAATAGCGAGATCTCCGTCTCGAAGAAGTATGTGCTGTCAGGAACCCTGACTCAGACACCCGGCCTGCTGCGGGGTTCGGGTTCGAGGGAACGACGCGGGCTCTCTTTTGACCGTCTCCATCATCAGTAACCGGACGGGCTGGATTTACGACCCCTTTTTATGTCTTGCTGACAAACTGGGCCGAGTCAGCGTTTGCAGATGACCTTTGGGATGTCAGATGGGCTCTGCCGGGAGGTGCCGGTGGTCCAGACAGGCAGGATGAGACAGGGGTGCAAAAAGAAAGACAGCACCAGTGAACAGAACAGATGGGGGGGGACATGCTCCAGCAGAGCTGGGGTGGTCTGTCCATCACCACACTTCATAAAACACAAAGTCCTCTAAGGAAATAAACCACAACGTTTGAACAATCCGCAACAACAAATAACAACTCAGACTCAGAAGAAACAGATAACAGTAATGTACAAAAAAAAACATACACCAGCTTTTATTTTTCAATTTTTTTTATTGAAAGCTTCCTCAAAGAGTTTATTTGAACTTAAACAGAATTTTGAAACTAACATCCATAGACAGAAAATCTCCGTATCACATCCAAAGACACGATGGGCACGAGGGTTGACCGTGACGGCATCTCAAATGTAAAAATAATAATAATAAATATAATCTTCATAGAAGCACTTGTTCAGCTGACCTCTTTCAAACATGCCCACAAAAAGGATTACATAAATATTAATCTCTTCATAATTTAACGTCTAATAGTTTTGTTTTCTTTTCTTTAAAAATTTCCTCTCCGTACTGCCAGTAATTTTAATTTTCTGGATCCGAACTCGCATGGGTGGGTCTAATCGATATTCAGCGTTCAATATTTGGCTAAACAGCGAGCTCTCTTGTCACACACACGTCATTCCTCTGACATGTCGAGACTGAAGGACCCGTGGCTCCTTTGTGCCAGTTGACATATATCTGTCATGTAGGGTTCCTCGATCCATCCTCGAACCTTTCTCCGGTAATGGGATTTCCCTTAAAGCAGAGACTGAGAGTTAATTCCAAGGTGCCCAACTAGGTAGGGGAGGCCGGCCCAGACTTTGAAAGATTTTTGCTCTGCATTGCAGGGATGGGGTTACACATTGAAGTTTCTACCCCCTTCACCGAGGTACTGCGTGGTACAGACCGGATTGGAGAGTTTGGAACTCTCCTCGAGGTGAGTGACATTAGTGAAGTTTGCTACCAGCAGGGGGCGATGGAGTGAGTTTCTGAGAGTGTGGATTTGGAGGGAGGGAAGTTGCAGTGGGGGGTGGGGGTGGCAGCCATGCTTGCGTGTTAAAGCCTGACGCACACTAGGAAACCCACTCCCTGCACAGTGCCAGTACCGTGTCCTGAAAGCAGACTGCATCCTCCTGGGGTCTGAGTGCACTTCTGAGCGTGTCTGCAAGCCTCATCAGCCGTGTGCGAATCACAGACACACATTTGCATGCACAGTTGCCGCCATTCAGATGTCAGTCATGTCTATGGTTTCTTTCAACACTATTAAGGACAATCAGTCCCTGGCAATGTTTCCCAGGCAGTGCGGCACCACGGCAAGGGACTCGTGGTTTTAAGGGTTGCCAGGTCGTTTTTCGTCCTGTACCGTTTTACCAAGCCGATGTTATGATTTTCCTGTGACAGATTTCTGGGAATAGGGATTCCTCCCATTCTCATCGATATTTCTAGTTATTTCTAGACTTTGAAACATATTTTCAAGAATATTTACATATTAAACATCTTCCAACAAAAGGTTAATTTAGGTTTCAACCTGAGCACCTTACCAGCCTAAAACAGAAGAGCTGGACACTGCAGGACAATAGGGGAAGAGGAAAGGTCTCCATTTAGTGTTGAGGGGTGTTCAGACCCAAACACCCTCCCCACATTTCTGGCTGAAAGTAAAGACTCTGTAGGTCTCTGCATCAGACAGGACCACGGGCCTTCATCTTGCCTGCCCTGTGATCTGTGCAGTTCACAGAGGTGAGCGCTCAACCTGGGTAAGTCCAGGACACAGTCAGGGCTTTGAACAGGTACCTTCTTCCAGAACCTGCTGCCAGAGATGTTAAGTTTGCAGGATTGGAAAAGGCCAGTGTTATGGCAACACATTTTTGATTTGATTGTGATTCATCTTCCAAAAATTGTCACACTGTGGACTTAAAGCCTACAGCCTCTCTGAGACCCCAACATTTGTATCGTGTTGAGGCATCAACATCGTATGTCTTGAGGTTGTTTAAAGAATGATGTCTGATGACTGACAGTGACAGGTATGAAATTCTGTACTCCTATTGCATGTCAATCACCACCAATGAAAGCGTGAGGAAGAGAGGATGGGGTGGGACTTAACTGTACAGGAAGACTACATTTGTGGATCCTATGCTTTTCAGACCGTGACAGCCACTCACCAGTTGTTTCCCATTTTTCATTCCATTGGACTTCCACAAAGGCTTTTCCTCCATAAAGCAGACATTCATTCTTTCCTTGAAAGATTGTTCTCATTAAAAAATATCAATATTTAAGAGCTGTTAACCCAATATGCTACATGTTCCCAGCCTGTGTAGAATCAATTGCTTCAACTGCATCAGAGTACGTTCCCTTTTTGATTGACAGCCATAAAGTGACGAGAGGTTCACCTCCAGGGACTCTCAGGTGTTAACATTTCTCCCCAAAACAAGAGCCTGAATCCAGAGCAATATTTATATTTTATTCTTAAGGAAAATCACACAGAAATAAAAAAGTAAACGGTAGAAGAGGAACCACCCCAACACAAACCAGCACCGACGGAAGTGTTCTGAAGGCAGCCAGACACCGCAGAGCAGCCCCTGTGTGCCAGAATCCCCATCCAAGCAACTCAGAAAGCGAGTTCCACTAAAACCCAGTTTAAAATGCACTTCCTCATGTTTACTGTGCTAGCAGTCTACCCTGCTAAAATGAGCTTACTCAAGCTTCAATTCCCGATTCCAAATTAGTAACTGGCAGTTTCATACGTTCCCCAGTGTGCAACTTGCCATACTTTGTATTTTCATAGCACCAAGCATTCATGGGAAACTGAGTCTTAAAAACCTGGAAAGGGAACTGGGGGGGCACCTCTTTTGATAGTAATGTAGCAGTTTCAGCTGGACAATGTGGGTCGTAAGGGGACAGATTACTGGGTTTGGACGGTTTGGGAGGATGCGAGCGAGACTGGGTCATAGTGGCAGATTGTGAACTGGGGTGGGTCACAGTGGGAGACTGTAAACTAGAGTGGGTAATACTGGGAGGCTGTGAAATGGGGTTTGAGGGCCAGGGAGGGTCTTAATGGCGCCATGCTGATGGTGTGATGGTGGAGCACTGAGGCCTTCATTTGTCCTCTCCCTCGGCCCTCTGGGGGCTGGGCGGGATCCGGTCCTTTCCACCAGCAACTCCCCATCCACCAGGCCACCTCGTCAGATTTTACTCCCTGCCCCCCATGTCATTCCTGTCATTCTGCCCAGAACTGGGGAGGCCATAGATCTAAAATGTCACCAGAATGCCACCACACTCCCAGACTATTAAGAAGCATTGTTTTTCGTTTACATACACCATGACACAACAGAGACTGAGGTAGCCTGGAAAGTTTATACACACACACAATCACACACGCACACTCACACATACATACACAAGGGGAGGACGGATCTGTTTGGACTTGCTTTTCTTTGTGACAAATGTGGGAAATGGCTTCTGTGGGTTTGTGAACACTGGCCTTGGCATGCGCCCCTCGCCCCATGGTGTCATGTGTCCAGGCCCCCCCAGGCAGGGACAGCCTGCATACACAGATCCCGGCTTGTCACCCACCCCTACCCTAATAGATGCCCCCGGCTTTTCTTTCTGGGTGGGCGAATCCCGGCTCCGCACTACTAGAATGCCGGTTTCCCCGCTTTGGGAGACGCTAGCAGGACGATCAGCCTCCTGTCACTTCGGCTGCGTGTCAGCGTTAACCGTAGAAAAGAAAACAAAAAAACAGGAAAGGAAGCTGAAGAGGGGAGGGTCGCTGAGCAACCTGGCCGTCAACCGGGAAGGAAAAACAACAACAACAGCGACAGCGACGACGACAACCTACAATCGCAACGACACGGGCGATGACAGCCAGGGGAATTAGAAAATATACCTGGAAAAAAGTCAAACATCTGTTTCAGTTCTTCTTCATCTTTGGTATAAAAATGGCCCTTCGGCCTGCATTTGATCCACAACTACGAAAGATTAGAGAAACTGCCAACGATTTGTCCTATTGCTTTTATATTGATTAGGTTAGACCATCGACTCCTACGGCATTTATGTACTTTTCACCGCGAGTTTTATTTTTTACTTTTAATTTTTTTTTTTTCAGTGTGACAAGCAAAGCAGACTAAAAACATCTTTAAGCTCATAAAAAAGGTCACAGATAAAAAGCAGTACGTCATCAACAGCAATTCTGCCCATTGTAATCATAGTCATAACGATAACAATAATAAAAAAAAACAAGCGGAACCTTCTAGCAACAGAACCACATTTTCCATAATGCGGTATTTTTCCCTCTTAGCGAAACTCTGATGTTCCACTTATGGAGATTTTCTCTCTACCTTTGTTTTTGCCATTGACGTGATATTTAACGTTTTCTTCTAGCGAAGATTAAAAAACTGCCCTCTGTTACGTCCGTATAGCTTATTTATCAGAAGACCCTCTCAGGGTCTCCTCTGGTAGCATAGAACCATCAGCTGCTTCACGGGACAAATTCATTTAATTCCATTTCTGTTTTATTTCAGATGATGCTTGATTGAACCTTGTGGAAAGTCTCTGTCGTCCTTAAAATTAAGGCAATAAAGATTCATGAAAAAAACACTTCTGAAGTTCTCTAAAAAAACTCTAACATTTAATGTAAGAAAAAAAATTAAAAGAAAGATTATCTTATTGTCTGAGGAAGACAGGCTGTTTTTTGGAAACTCGCGCCTTCCTTCAGTATGTCACCTACTCACACATTCAAACATTTTTTTGTTGGCTTTTCAGCCTGTTTTTGAATTTGATGAATCTCTTGGAAAAATGGAAAAATGTTTCAAGCCTCAGTCTGACGTAGCTGCGGGCACCAGGCGAAGCCCCCACTCTGAGCGTCCTGGGACAGCTTTCGGGGAGGGATGTGTCCGGTGCCCGGTCCGTCTGGATGCCACCTCTCTCCTCGGGTCTCAGTGCACGTCCCCCATCTCAGGGCAACTCTGTCACAGGATCGCTCGTGTTACCTAGGGGATGGGGGGGGGGGGGGGGGCAGAGAGGCCTTCATTTAGAGACCACAGGGTTAGAGGGGGGAATGCAGAGAGATAGAGATGCGGAAAAGGTAGGAAAGAGCAGGAGGCCACATGAAGCAACAGTCAGAGAGAAGCAAAGAAGAACACAGGCAGAGACAGCAGGGGCACAGACTCAGAGGCAGCAGAGGCACAGACACAGAGACAGCAGAGGCACAGACACAAAGACAGGAGAGGCACAGACACAGAGACATCATAGGCACAGAGGCACAAATTCAGAGACTGCAGGGGCACAGACACAGAGACAGCAGAGGCACAGACACAGAGACAGCAGGGGCACAGACTCAGATACAGCAGGGGCACAGACTCAGAGACAGCAGGGGCACAGACACAGAGACAGCAGAGGCACAGACACAGAGACAGCAGACGCACAGACACAGAGACAGCAGACGCACAGACACAGAGACAGCAGACACAGACATGGAGACAGCATGGGCACAGACAGAGGGAAACAAGTGAGAGGCCCTTGCATCACTGAGAAGTATCTTGATGCCAAAATTGCATGTCAATTAGTCTTCAGCACCAAACCCAAGGTCTGGCCAGCACTGGGATGCAGTAACCTAATTAGCATTAGCAACAGCCACAAGGGAGGGAGCGAGAAACCACATGGGATTATCGCGTGTTGGCGTCCACAGCGTCCAGCGGAGCACGTTAATCCCATAAATCGTCCATAAATCGGTGCCAGACAAACAGGATGCCTTGTGTGGCACAGACAGGCAGAATAACCGTCTGACGGCTGTCTGTGAATGTTCGCCTCCCCAGAGCACTCACTTGGACTGGTACGAGTAGGCAGGAACATGGTCACTGGCGGGCTCAACCTGTACCTGCTGCTGTCCGCCGGCCTCCTGCGATGAGGGGGCCACCGTCTGAGGTGAGGCGTCAGCGACCACGCCCTGAGGAGAGGGGGTGTGGAGTGGGAGGAGCCACAAGTGAGGGAGTTCTTGCCACGAATGGGGGGGAGGGGGGGGTACTTAAAGTATGTTTCAAGGCATAAAAATTATGCATTATATGACGTGAAATTGCTGCTTGCGTGTTCAGACTGTAGCCGGGTACTTTTATGTAATCTACAAAATTAACTTGTTTGATTGTTTGTGGCTTCCTGTGATTCTTTGCTGCCACTGGAGCAAAATTACATGAGAAGTAGCCAAAATGTGCAAGGAGGAAATAGAGAAGCTGTGTACAGGAAGTCCAGCCCCCTACCCAACTGGTTCTGACCAGAAAGGCTTTGCTAAGCAGGAGATGTAAGGCATAACTGGAAAAACCTGCCAAGGACCCCCCATGCCTGGTAGGGGTGTCCGCTGTCTCTGGGACCTTCAGGTCAGATGGGGCATCTCTCCCCTCCATCTGCCTCACCCTCCCCTCCTATGCCATAACAGGTGCGCGTGTCCTCATGGCCCCCCAAAAACACCAACTGAACATTAAGGGGCCCTGAGCATCCCGCAGTGCAGGAGCGCAAGAGCGGGACTTAAAATGGGCCTTAAAATGACAAATGGGCCACTTTTTACAGAAGGGGAAGACGCAGAGACGTGAGGAGCACAGGTGGCAGGATCGGAGCCAGGCCGGGGGTGGGGGTCACTTACTTCGACTGGGACGGCAGCTGGAGGCACAGGAGTGAACTGGGGAATGTAGGTTCCCTGCATAGGCGGGCCAGCGGTGGTCATATACTGCAACAGACAGAATATCTGGGTAACGCTGCCGTAACGTCTCACGCACTGATGCAGACTGAGGCCTCCAGCATGGAGCCGACCTGGTAGAGTGGTTACGGAGAGCAGAGTAAATGTTTAATAGTGCACTTAAGTGGCTCTATGTCTAATGCACCATTCATTATTAACGTCTTTCACTTTCCTAACAGGCGCTTTAATATTTAATTGTTTGCTATACTTTACCGCACCATAAAAGCCACTAATTACTCGAGCAACTGACGAGGTGTGTCAGTGAACAGCAGCACTTACCCCGCTGGGATCGGAGCTACTGCCGCTAAATGAGTGTGTGACCTGGCCGACAGTGTGCCCAATGATGCCCCTCACCCCCATGAACCCCCCACCAGCGCAGTGTTAAGGGGCCAGGAGAGGACCTGGGGGGGACCTGCTCGGTGGTCGGGACAGTCTGTACTTTCTGCCGCTCATTGAAACTCTAAGGGTTAATGGTGGGCCCTTCTCCCAGCATACCTCAGGGCTCCACCCCACCCTGCGGCTACTACCGCCTGCCAGTGGGAAAATGGCTCCATTCTGACTGAAAATGAATTATTTTTATGAGAACTTCATAAAACTATATTTACAAGAACTGCCACACCTGAGAATATATCAGCGATGTCGTACTGCTCCAATAGCAGCCAAAAAGGGTGTTGCACACACACACACACACACACACACACCCACACACACACACACACCCACACACACACACACACACCCACACACACACACACACACTGTGTGAGGCCCTGTGCGAAGGTACTTCTGTCAGTCCAGGGCCGCTTCCATAAAAGTCTGTGCACCATGAATGCTGACAGCTCCCCTGCACCTGGCTTCCACTGTTAGGGCATTGTTGACCCCCGCACCCGCCGAGGAGATATGTTGTCTGGTGTGGCCTCGGTGGCCCCCCAGCTCTGAGGGCTGCCCCACCTCCGTGTCAGCGCGGTCGCCCGGGAAACAGGCCCATGGGTGGGGCTAAGAGCTTCCCCGCTGGCCGCCTCACCAGGTCCCCGCAGGGCTTTGCTGTCCGACGTAAACACGATGTTCTCAGAACATTCTGGACCGGCTGGGTTATTCTGGGGTTCTGGTTAGCTGTGGTAAGCCGTGACGCCCTAGTGGGAAGCTGTGGAAAGTGGGCGGGGGTGGCTTGGCCTGCCCACTGGCCCAGGTGCATGCTGGGTGTTCCCTGGCACGTCTGCCTCTGCGTTTGGAGTCCTTGGCCCTACGCAGGCCAGCGGGGCGGCACGTGAAATGGGAAGCGCAAACAGAAAGGGAAACGTCACATGCTGTGTCAAAAGGACACGGGTATCCGTGCAACACAAGCAGCATCTTCTATCTGCCAGTATAGTGCAGTAAGTCAGTAATTAACGATCGGTACGTAATCCTGCAAGCACAAGCTGGTGATGGGACCGGAGCAGCAGTGCTGTTAAGTCACTCATGTGAAGGTGAAGCTTCAGAAAATGAATGTAAAAGCTGTTCCTAAGAGCCCTCCAACCAAAGGCAGACACGCAAGTTCAATACGGCATAATGGTGTGGCTCAACTTAACAGGTAATAGCACAGATTGGTTTGGCCTTCATGTCAGACCCTCCTGTTTTCAATAAGAGACTCATGCTTCGTAACTACGCACGGACTGGAAACAGCTCTCACACTTCTCATAGGAGTGTAACTATGCATGGATGGGATACAGCACTCACACTTTCCATGAGTGTAATTACACATGGATGGGATACGGCACTCACATTTCCCATAGGAGTGTAACTATGCATGGACTGGATACAGCACTCACACTTCCCATAGGAGTGTAATTACATATGGATTGGATACAGTACTCCTACTTCCCACATAGGAGTGCAACAACATGTGGAAGGGATACAGCACTCATAATTCCCATGTAGGGGAGTAACTATGTCTGGATGCGATACAGCACTCACACTTCCACTAGGAGTGTAACTACTCGTGGATGGGATACAGCAATCACACATCCCATTGGAGTGTAACTATACACAGATGAGACACAGCATTCATACTTCCCATAGGATGGATGGAGCACTCACACTTCCTGCTGTGCCCAGGGACAGATGGTTCATCTGCTGGGTGAGAGGCCCCATCATGCTGGCTGGCTGCATGGACATGCTGTGCTCCATGGCTGGCGTGATCACGGCCCCCTGGAGAGAACGGGATGGAGGAGATGTCAGGTCAGGGCCCACCTTAGCCCTGGGCCATGAGGTCGCGGACAGGCTCTCTTCCCCCTCCTACAGTAATTAAATAAATCTGCGTTCCTTTCAATCTTGTAACAAAGCATTTCCCAGGTACATGGGCTCCTCACTCAGCGATGGCAGTAGACACTCACATCATGCGCACAGCCTGTACAGCACGCAAACGTCGCGTCGCGTCGCGTGCAGGAGCGTCACTGGCATCCCAGGCAGCAGCTGCACATTGTCCCTGACTGATATCTGCCTCCCTGCTAGGGTTGGGTTCCGCTGTCCCCAGGTAAATGGACCCCTGCGGGCAGGTCAGTGCCCTTGGCTGGTGATCCCTCTTGGGGTGAAACCTATAGGGGCCTCTGGCATCAGTTATCGCTGCTTCACTGCCGAGCTGATGGATAGGTCTCTCTCTTTCTCACACCCCCTGCTTCCTCCCCTCCTCCACACACTTCATCCCGCACAGTAAATCCTCTCCAGAGCCCCCACCCCTTTCCCCAAAAAGCATAGAACTAACCAAGCATCCAATCAAAATCACCTAATGAGCTGCGGGAGATAAAGGATAACAAGGCCCATCTGTAAATGACTTGGTGTGTGCGGCTGTGTGTGTTTGCATGTAGGGTGTGTGTGTGTGGGGGGGGGGGCAGGCTGGACAGCGGGGAGTGATAGTACTCCTGTAAGCCACGTGTGCAGGAAAATAAAGTGGAGAGAGGCCCCGGGGAGTGTGGGGGTGCCACCTTAATTAGGAGGCACAAATGTGCTCACTGGCAGGCCTTGGCATGCTGAGACAAAATGAAGGGGGTTGGGGGGGTGAACACAGCAGCTGAGGGGAGGGAGATTGAGCACAGGCCTAATACTGAGACCCACTGAGATTCACTCATCAAAATGCAGACAGAATGAGGCTCACTGGGACACACTGAGACTCACTCATCAGAATGCAGACAGAATGAGGCTCACTGAGACACACTGAGACTCACTTATCCGAATGCAGACAGAATGAGGCACGCTGAGACACACTGAGACTCACTTATCCGAATGCAGACAGAATGAGGCAAGCTGAGACACACTGAGACTCACTCATCAGAATGCAGACAGAATGAGGCACGCTGAGACACACTGAGACTCACTCATCAGAATGCAGATAGAATGAGGCTCACTGGGACACATTGAGACTCACTCATCAGAATGCAGACAGAATGAGGCTCACTGGGACACATTAAGACTCACTCATCAGAATGCAGACAGAATGAGGCTCACTGGGACACATTGAGACTCACTCATCAGAATGCAGACAGAATGAGGCCTTTTCTGAACATATACAGAAATCAGGGGTTAAACACTATTGCTTATGGCCTGGGGCTCCGCAGCCCTGTGCTGCACATTCAGGCCACCTCTCTATCAGGAGCTGGTGTCTCATGAACGGTACAGGAGAAGAAGCCGTCGGCAAGGCCTCCACAAAGGTACAACACAACACACGCAGGTGCAGAGTGCGTGGGCCAAAAAAAGCCTCAAAGAACACAAGAGCATAAAGGATGGGAGGCCCTGCAAAGAGGGGAGGAAGAGCCAAAAAGCGAGAATACACCTGCTCTTACAAGCCGAGAAATGCAGGCAGGCCGCTTAACGAGGCCGTCTAACGAGATGGTCTAAGTGGTGAGTCAGAGAGTACAGCAGCCCCTTGCCAGTCACGCTTCTGCATCGGTGCAGATGCCCCAGAGAAGAGCAATAATCAGCATTCAGCATTTTCTCTGGGTTGGCGATCAGCACCCAGAATGAAGCCGTGAGGAAGCCCGGCATCTGTTCATGCTCCTATTAGCAAGGGCTGGAATTAAACCGCAAAGAGCAAATGGGGTAATAGAAAAAGAGCAAAATGAAAATTGCAGAGAGCGTATTATAAAGAGAAAATTAAATATTGCAAATATAAATGACAGGGAGCAGGGAGGCCTGTGTGAGAGGGTTGAATATTGCTCTGTTTTGCTCGTCTGTGCTGTGTACAAATCACCTGCACGAGGACTCTTATCTAGCTGTTAACGTTTAACGTTAGAGACAGCGTTCCATAAAAACAGCTGCGGGGCAGCATCTAAGCACATGGGACTGGTCTTGCTCTTGTACATTCAACATGAGCCGCTTTGGGAAAGAAACCAGCTGTGTAAAGGCCTTCATAGCTCCAGTAATAAGAATTCTTCAGGAAGGCGACAACTATCCATCACTACCAGACTGGAACTGGATGCAGTGAAAAAAATGTAATCTAAGCCCTATAGATATGACCATTTAACCCCTGTAGAAATACATGCATCCAATATAGAAATATGCATCAATCTGCTATAGAAATTGCCATCCATCCCCTACAGAAATGCAAATCCATCATCTCTAGAAATATGCATCAATCCGCTATAGAAATTGCCATCATCCCCTATAGAAATACAAATCCATCATCTCTAGAAATATGCATCAATCTGCTATAGAAATTGCCATCCATCCCCTATAGAAATGCAAATCCATCTCCTCTAGAATATGCATTTATCACTGATAGATCTCTCCCCTATACATTACATGTATGTAGGCAGGTATCTAGCACATCCTGGCCATCGTGTTATGTCTTTACATATAGTGACAGGCTTCTGCTGGAGTGAGGGGGGATGACTGTAACCACTCAACCATGCAGCAGTTCTCTTTACGAGGCAGCACGGTGGTGTTGGCCTGCACACGCTCCACGTGTCACTCAAACACACATGTGCGTGTACATGAAGTGCCCTCATGTTGGCTCATGCCACATTGAACAAACCGCTTAACGACAGCCAGGTCTGTGACTTACCGTTGGTTGCATAACGTATTGTTGGTGTGGCATCCATGATGTGCTCTGAACCTGTGGAGACAGTACAGGGTCTCAGGAAGAGGCGCTCGCCCGCCCACATTAGCACACACACACACTGTAAGCACGCGACCGCTGGCTCGTTCGGAGTCATGTTCCCTGTGCTATCCTCTGTTGTTCCTGTCCTACGCTTCGCCACGTAATAAACCCGTAAGATCTGCCCTTATCGGTCCATTACTCTCCCCGGCCGGCCACGGTTCCCTTCCAGCCTCTTGGCCGTAAATGACGGCCTGACCTTGCGTTTGCCTGAAGGACGGCACGGTGGGACTGCATATAAACCATCGAGATTCATATTCCTCAAAGCGCGAGGAT